CTCAGGCAGACTTAGAAGACCCCACAGTCACTATTTCGAATAGGAGCAGGTTTGGCCTCCCAGGTGACTTGACCGATAGGTATGCCTCAATCAACATCACACAAAAAAAAAGCCATGTTTGGTCATTATCTGATTATTGAGCGAAGAAATTTGCTGATTCCAAATCAGTGGTTGCACTGCCAACTTTAGAGTCTGCACTTCAGGAAAAGCACTTTATTGGCTGGAAAGTGCTTTGAGCTGTCTGGTAGAGCTACATATATGGAAGTAATTTTTGTACTCTTCCACCTCAACGGTCTTGAAGAAGGTACAACGGCCCCACCAAGAATGATGGATTTCGCTTATGCGGAGTGAGTGGCTGAGCTAAAAATGTTTCTCCTTGGAACGAGGGGTGAAGGAGGAGATTTAACAGGTGTTCAGAATTAACAGTTCCAAAAAGGTGTTTCAGATTGTAGGAGGGTTAATAAAAAGAGGGTCACAGATTGAGAGAAACCAATAGAAGAAATAAGGAGGCTTTTTCCATGAAAATGGTTGTGCTCTGGAATATGCTGCCTGGAAGAGCAAGAGAAGCAGTTTTAGCAGTAGCTTTCTTAAGGATTTTTCTTAACATTACAGGGCAGGGGTTAAGAGTAAGGCAGTGGGACCAATTAGACAGTTCCTTCAAAGTATTCGCACAGAATGGGTTTCCTTCAGAGGTATAAAATTCAACATTAACACCAGTTAGCTTGTACCACGTATTGCTAATCAAGAAAGCTTTAGGGGCTTCACCCCAACTCATTAACTACCAACCTCAAAGTTCTTGCCTTGCAAATGGCCTTGAAAGCAGAAAAATCATGAGCAAATCTAAACAATGTTTTCAAAAAGAAATACTTTTACAAACCAAACCTATCTCACAGCACAAAAATAAAAAACACAAGGGGGGCATCACAAGAGCGACATATTTGCTCCTGGGATTTCTTGCAAAGCAAACTATGGTGAGAAAATTCTGGAATGAAAAATTTTCATTTGGAGGTCACGTAAGGTTACCATAACAATCGCAATCTATGTCAGTGCATCCAGTATCAGGTCAATAACATGCACAAAAATTCTTGAGACATTGTGCTCACTGAAGCATCCCATTCTATCGCCGTTCACTTAATGGAAGTCACAAGCCTGCCAGTTGAAATGTTTTGGAAGTGCTTACAAGTGGATACAGGTATACTGCAAACCCCATTCTACACACACTGTTGACTCACAGCAAGGATGGGTGCACTGGACACTCCATCAGCATTCTCCCAAAACAAATCGAGAAGTACAACTGACCCTCCAGACTAAGGCCACCTACCAGCGTCAACTAAATGACACTTGGATACAATCACTGGATTGTTAAGATGATGCACACACTGATCCCATCAGCACAGAGCTTTTATGGGGGCTGAATGCAGGCAAGGCTACACTCTGACAGCAAGTGGTAGTTACTGCGCAATTATGACAAAAACGCACGTTTAGCCAGTACCATTTCATGCCCCCAGAGTATCACCAGACAAGATTTGATTCTGAGCCACAGAGTTGAGACACAGCAGACCAAAGGTTTGGCCAAAGAGGCAAGTTATAAGGATTAATAGAGGAGAGAATTCCAGAGCATAGGCCCCATGGTAATGGGACAATGCAAACGAATCAGGTAGGTGCAAAAGTGTTGAAACCAAGGAGCACAGAGACCTCCAAGGGTTGTAGATGGTTACAGAGATTGGGAGGGGTGCACCTTGGAACAGGAACATACTAAAAAATAACGAGGCACTGCCAGACTATGGGTTAACAGGTCAGCTGCATGGTGGTGGGAGGCAAGGCTAGAGAACATTTGAACAGTTGAGCCTGGAGATAACAAAGGCACAGAACTGCACGTGTGAAGACAATCTCTACATTCATGCTCTTCTTCCATACACTCCACTCCACTAAAGGCTAGTTACAATTAGACTTGCAGCCCATTCCATCTTTCGAATAATGGTGTAGGAATATTGGTGTTTAAAAAGATCATGGGACTGAATATGCTACCATTCAGTTTCTGTGGTAATGATGAACACCCAAGAATCTACAGACATGACCTAGCAGAAAAATGTGCTCCTTAAAGGGGGCAAATGTTCTATTTTAAAAAGTACCCTGCTAGATAGTCCCACATGTAGAGACAATACATTTCAAAAGTCACTAAACAAAACTGCTCAATCCCAGAGCAATTTCAATCTTGATATCTGCAACTCAAAACCACGTGTAATTAAGAGGAAGTAAAGCAAAATCCGTTTACAATCAAAAAAACTTCAACGCAGTCCTCACATTGGACAAAACTCAAATCTTGTGCAATTTTTTTAAAATTATACCGAACAGGAATGAACTTGTGCCATAACTTAAGAAGCACGGGTGCAATTTTAAAATCTCACATGGAAGACAGAACTCTGAAAAGAGAACGTTTTTAACTCTATCTAATATCGCATCATTACGAATGCGCTTAAGTGGCACCGTTTTGACCTCAAAATCTCAAACACACAATGTTAAGTCCAAATCTTTCCCTATAAAAAAAAGTATTAATTTTTCAGACACATTTATGCAATCAGTCAGCTTTTTACAGGGGCAGAATACACCTTCCAGAACAAACGTGAGCAAAAAAAACTCTCCCACATGCAAGCCAGCATTTTCTAAAATAAAGCACAAAAACTAAACACAATCACTCCCTATAAACAGCGCCAATTTCTCTCGATATTGGAATGCTACACACCCAAAAAGCAGCTTCAGGTTAAGAGAAAATAAAATCTTAAAAAAAAACCATTTGCCTTCACAGCGTGGCCTTGCATTCTCCCCTTTTATCATAAGCAATTTTTTTTACCTCCTGGAAGCCTGGTCTGTCTTGCGCCATTTGGATGAATATACAAATAGTTTTTTTAAACATCTACACAAACACAAAAAAGACAATACTGCAGGATTAGATTCAGTCCTTTTCTTGCCCAGATACAAAAATGTTTGAGAAAAAGATTTGAGGGACAGCAATGAGTCTGCTCCGGCCAGTGAGCAGTGTGGAGGAAGAGAGGGTTGTGTGTCAGGTTTTGGTGCTTAGTCAGTCCCTGCACAGGGCCTCAGGCTCCACGCTCTCTCTCTCTCTCTCTCTCTCTCTCTCTCTCTCTCTCTCTCTCTCCCTCTCTTTCCCCCTGCAACACCCCACCTTCTACATACAAATAAATATAGTTACAATACTAAGAGATTTTGGGTTGGGGGTGTGGGAAGATTTCCCAAAAGAGGTAGGGAGAATACAAGGGAATCTAATGTACTTGCTGTATTTACAGAAAAATATACACACAATTTTAAATAAATCTACTCAAAATATATACGTAGGGGAGAAGGTATATAATGGATGATTAAAAGGACAGACATTTCCTGAAGAGGGAACAGGGCAAGAAGAGGCCAGCTTGTGATTACAAGCTCTCTTTTAAAAATATATTTAGAAAGGTATAAAACCTTTTCCCCTGTTAAAACCAGAAAGGCAGAATCTCTTCCAACCTCCCCCCTCAATGCAGACAGATCATGTTTGAAATAAAAATCACAGGCACGATCTGAAGGAAGAGAAGGTACAGGGTAAAAGAGGGCAGCCTGTGACTTCATTCTCCTCTGAGGTCGTTTGCCTTTGCTGTATTGAAAACTGTTCCAACTCTGCTTCCTCCTTTATTACCCCTTTTTAAATAAAAACAATAAAAGGCAGAACCACTCCTCCCAACACACACATTTTCTGAAAAAAAAGTGTTGTCTCCTGAATAAGTGGGGGCTGGCAGGGGAGAGGTTGAAAGGTAACACAAGAGAGAAGTGGGGGGGGGGCAGTGCTTGTCTTGCACTCCTCTCCAAGGTCCTTTAACCATTTCTTCTTGTTAGGTATTCCCTAATCAGACAGGGACAGAGAAAATCCTTCCGCTCCTTTCCCCCTCCTCCCCATTTAAAACCAGAACACACCTCTCTCTCTCTCTCTCTCTGCACCAACAACAAACCCCCACTGGTTTAAAAAAAAAAGATATATAATTAAACAAAATATAAAATTAAAATGGCGGGTCTAATTCAGGGCCTCCCCAAATCTTCCTCAATTGGCCAGAAATCGTCTTCCCCTCATTCAGGGATTGATTTCCACCCCCCCCCCCCCCCCCCCCTCTGTGCAATCCCCCCCCCCACCACCTTTTTTAATCCCCCCCCCCCCCCCCCCCACCAACACACACATTTCCAAAGCAAAGGGTGAGGAGGGGAAGAGAAGAACTGGCTTTAAATAAAATGGTGGTGGTTGTTTGTGGCTGGAAGGTGGTTTGGTCAGAGGAGCTTCTTGAATTTTTTGAAGGATTTTTGATTTTTTTTTTTGAAAAAGAAAGAAATAAACCCGGGAGGAGGAGGACGGGGGTTGTTTTCGATGCCCTTTTTTTTATCCCTCTCTCTCTCTCTCTCTCTTTGGGTTTTTTCCTGCTTTCCTTTCCGTCGAGGTGGGGGTAGAGAAAATATAAAGAAGACAAGGTTTCGACATTTCTCTTCTCTTTCTCTGTGTGTGACTCTCTCTCTCTCTCTCTCTCTCACCTGAACAACATCGGCCATGTTGTCGCTCGCCCGCCCGCCGCCACCACCACCACATCCACCGCCGCGATAGACCCCCCCACCCCCCGACACCACAAATCCGGCGGCCCCGCACTGCGCACGCGTCCGGAGAAAGCCTGTTGAAAGGGGAGGGGGCGGAGAGACGATGTGGGGGTTTTTTTCGTGTGGGGGAGGGGAGATAGCACTGACCTCCTCGGATGTCGCCGCCCTAAAGGACTCGGAGGATCGGTTCTACCCGGCTGGGAAGGGAAAGGGTGACGCAGCGCATGCTCGGATTATTTCCATGGGGCTGGGGTGGGAGGGGGGGGGGGAGAAAAAGAGGGCGAAGGGACTAGTACGCGTGCGCGATGCCGACGTCGCGCGATCGTGGTTGGGGGGAAACGACGGCAACTGCGCGTGCGCAGTCCCTTCGCCGTTTTCGTGCTTCAACCCACCTCCCTCATCTCCCGACCGGAACGAGTACGCCGGTGTTCGGTGAGGTCCCTTTCGTTGAGAGGGCGGGGAAGGTGGGTGGGGGCGTGCGCGCGTTCCGCGCTGGAGGGCAACCGCGCGTGCGCCGTCCCTTCATTGTGGGGCGGGTGAGACCCGGACGAGGGCGTCTGCGCAGTGCCGGCGCTGCGCGAGGGCCGGGAATCGCGCGTGCGCATTCCCTTCATTAGGGCAGGGGTCATGCAGGACCAGCGCGCCTGCGCAGTTGCGGAACCATCTTTTTGTCGGGCTAACGGGGTTGGGGAAGCGACGAATGATTGGCAAGAAGTTCCCGCCCAACCTTAGGGTCTGCGCAAGCGTCGAAAGAAGTGTGGTGAGTTTTTAAAATATTTGTTTATTTGTCCGTTTCTTTCTTCGTTGTGTTTTAGATAAGGTTGGGGCGTAATGAGTCAACAGTTGTCTAGTCGTATCTCTAAGCGGGAAGGGGGTTAGGCCTGGGAGAGGTCAATACGAGTGGCGGTGCCGTTTGTTTGGAGGGGGGCTGCGGAGCTGCCTTTCCGCGATATCGCCGCCCTGCAGGACGGGAGGTGCCTGTGCTCCTGATGGGTGAACAGTGGCTGTGGCCGGGCCGAGTCCACAGGAGGAACTGGGGTGGATTCACCTGGAAGGGAGCAGATTCAGTTCATCTCCTTGTTCCCCCCCGCCTCCATTCTGAATCCTCGCCATTGGAAACACTGGAGTGGAGTTTGTTGGTGAGGAATTTTTCCTCTTTCAGGAGGGGAATGGATTTGAATTCCTACCCCCACCCCACAACTGGATTTGCAGGGAGTACTGGAAAAGCTGGGGTGGATTAATAATGAGAGGAATTGATTTCATTTATTATTGTCACGTACAGTGAAAAGTATTGTTTTGCATGCTATCCAGACAAATTATACCTTGTGTAAATACATCAGGGTAGTACTGAAATAAGTCCATAAAGGCCAGTGTCCCGTCACCGAGTCACCCTTTATTTATAGTCCTTGACTCTGATCCAGCTTCCTCAGAGCCAGCTCTCAAGAGTGAACAGAAGCTCTCATGAAGAGTCATCCAGACTCCAAATATTAGCTCGCTGTCTGACCTGCTGTGATCTCCAGGATTTGTTGTTTTCAGAACCTCTGACACTCATGTTCATGCCTGTCAGCCAGGGGTCCCTGATTGGACCAGGTTAATAGCTCTAATCTGGCAAATCATATTCAATAGGTCCACCTGGCTGACCTTGTTACAACACTACAGAATGGAATGCAGAATATAGTGTTAAACAGATACAGAGAAGGTGCAGAGAAAGACTAACTCTAATATGTGAGAGGTACTTTCATAGGTCATTTGGAGCTAAAACATTAACTCTTCTTTCTCTCCACAGATGCTGCAACACCTGCTGAGTTTCTCCAACTCTTTCTGTTTATGAATTAGAGCCCCAAGTCCTTTCCCTGGAAGCCCTGGTTTGGTGCTGGGTTGAGATAAAGCGAAATGGGGGAACTCATTCGAAACACCAAATTGGATCCATGCATTGGATTTTAAAGGAATGGACTTGAACTCATTTGGAACACTGGGTTGGATTTGACTGGGGAGAGGGGAGCTAATAGAAACACTGGCATGGATTGGAGGTGGTGGCTTTCTGCAATAATTTTTACTGCTGCAGAACATCTGCAGAGACCATACAGGAGCATAGAATGTGCAAGGGTGAAATTAGAATGAGGAAAGGCAAGAGAAAATGTATTCACAGATAAAATCATGGAAAGCTCAATAATATTTTCTGAATACATTGAGAACAACTAAGAAAAACGTATACTTGCAAAACAAATATATTTTAATAAAATCTGTGATGTCTTTTGCAACCATTTGATTTCTCAAAGTACCCTCAGAAGTGTTGTCACTGTTGTAGGAAATGTATCATAGAATCCTCACGGTGTGGAAGCAGGCTATTCAGCCCATTGAGTCCACACCGATCCTCCGAAGAGCATCCCAACTAGACCCACCCTCTTATCCTATCCCTGTAACCCTGCATTTCCCATGGCTAATCCACCTAGCCTGCACATCCCTGGGTACTATGGACAATTTAGTGTGGCCAATCCACCTAACCTACACGTCTTTGAACTGTGGAAGGAAACCAGCACACCCAGAGAGAATGTACAAACTCCACACAGTCACCTGAGGGTGGAATCAAACTTTTGTCCCTGGCACTGTGAGGTAGCAGTGCTAACCACTGTGCCACCCATTAAAATGTTAGCCTTGGACTGTAGGTATCTAGCCCAGTGACTTTGCCATTATACCACTGTAGCATCCAATTTTTGCACAGCAAGCTACCGCAGCCGGCAATGTGATACGATCCCAGATCATGTTTTTATTGGCGTTGGTTGAGGGATAAGTGTTGGCCCCTCAACACTGTGGCTTTGTTTTGACGTTGTTTGGGCTACAGCCTGCTGAGAGAGAAGCTAAGCAGATTATTATCTGCCGTTTACTGTGAAAGCCCATTCAGAGAGGCCAGTGTGAGAGCTGTTCTCATGAAAAGCCTCTGAATTCTTGATGACTCCTGAATGACCTGTGTCTGCAAAGGTCCCAGATGACAATTTCCTGTGTTTAGTGCCACCTGGCTACGTGTAAGAGGAAAGCAACTGAACGGCATTTTGAGCCTTCCACACAAAATGCTATTTACCTTTTAAAGACTAACCATTATTAGCCAAAGTGTTTATCTTGTCAAACTTACTCCCTGTGGAGAAACCTCTTTTTGCTCTTTAATTGGTGTTCATTTATTCAAAAGGATAAATATTATTTCATATTCTAAACTGTGTGTTAATCAATTTTACGTCTTCTCTGAATGATTTCCTTTTTGTTTTTACAATAAATCAATAATTCTGTTGTTTAGAAAGTAATCTGGCTGATGTTTATTTTTGTTCTAAACTCCATATGGATGAAGTGGATAACTGTTAATATTGGGTAATCGAGTAAAGCTTTTCAAAATTTATGTTGTGACAAGTAGAATGGTGGGTTTAGAGGATGACAATGCATTGTCCAATGTCGACTGTAACAGGAAAGATTGAATAATCTGGGCAGGGATTGTTCTCTTTGGCATAGAGGAAACTGAGGAGAAATTTAATTGAAGTGCATAACATTATGAAAGGCCTTGGATAGAGTGGATTGAAAAAGTCTATTGGCAGAGCTGAATAACCAGTGAGTATAGATTTCAAGTAATTGGTAGAAAGATGGAACGGGGGGGTGGTGGTGGTTGAAACATAAATGTTTTTCACCAGGTGATAGGACACCTTGAACATACTGCCTGAATTGATTATGTTATTCATAACAGACTTTTAAACAGTAACAGAATCAAAGGGTTATGGGAAAAAGTCAGGAAAGTGGAGTTAAGGATTATTTGATCAGTCACGATCTCGTGGAATGCCAGAGCAGACTTGATGGGCTGAATGGTCGACAGGTAGTTCTCCTATAATGTGACAGTTGCATTCTTGTGTGACCTCGCGCTGTAGAAAATCGTGTTATAGGGAAATAGAAAATTGCTATACGTGTACAGCAGAAAGTTTGCGTTATCCAAACAGTGTCCACTATTCATCATTCGCATTACAGCCAATTTGCGGTAACAAAACACACGTTATAGCAGAACTACCTGCACTTCTGCTCCTATTCCTTATAAAATAAATTGGATACGCACTTTAATCTACAGGGCTGAGCACCAAAAGTAGGAATGTAGGTATAATTGTGGAGCTTTTTCTCATCTGGAGTGGACAGGAAGAGCCAAATGGCCTCTTTCTGAGCTGTAAATTTCCTGTGAGGCAGATGTTTCCCATGTTAATTTGAAGTGCTTGGCCAAGTGTGTTAGCTGGTGATTCATTAAGAGCTGACAGGCTGAGCAAGGTGGTAGAGGGGAGCTCACCCTAACACAGCCCTTGATAAGAGCGAGCCAAGGCACCAACCAGTCAGAGACTGGTGGTTTCCTAAAGTCAGCCGAGCAAGACTGACCTATCCCTTGGGTATCCAGTTCTTATTTTCTTCTTCATGTGGGGAAAAGGGAGTTCAGAGACAGAGGGGTGGATTTGGCTTTCAGAGACCACCCCCTTGCTCAACATCCATGTCTCTGGTGATTTCGAGACCCCCTCTTTCTCCATAACCTAGCTGGCAGATGTCATGGCTTCCCAATTAAGTAATAACCATCTATCCCATCCCCAGGGAAGGCACATGATTGGGGAGATGGCAAGTTGAGACCCTTAAGTGGCCATTAATTGACTACTTAAAAAGAACCTTAATCGCTAGCAAGCAAAAAAAAAGCACAAGGACTTTCTCACACCAGATGTAATTCCAGTGATGGCAAGAGGGGTCCTTTTGTATTCAAGGACCAATTGGGCCAATCATTTGCCCTATTTGCCACCCTCAGTGAATTGCGGAAAAAAGTTACAGCCTGTGTTTTATACAAAAAAAATCAACCGATTCTTTCTACACAAGGTATATTAATAACACAATCTTTCGAATATTCAAGATGATCCTTAGAAACACATACAAGACCATTAAGGGACTTGACTGAGTGGATGCTGATAGGGTGTTTTACCTCACGGGAGAGACGAGAACAAGGAGGCACAGTTTCAGAATAAGGTACCTTCTGTTTAAGACGGAGATGAGGATGAATTTCTTCCCAGAGGATGGTGAGTCTGTGAAATCCTCACCCCTCAAAAAGCAGTGGGGGCTGAGTCATTGAATGTAGACAAGGCTGAGTTAAGTAGATTTTTGATCAACGAGAGGGTCAAAGGATATGACGGTGAGATGGGAAACAACGAAACTAGAAGTAGAAACAGGCCATTTGACTTTGAGCAGCTCCACTATTCAATGTGAACATGGTTGATCCTCTACCTCAATGCCATATTCCTGTTTTTCCCCCACATTCCTTGATGCCTTTAAATTTTAAAAATGTATCTATCTCTTTCTTGAATATATTCAGCAATTTAGCCTCACAACTTTCAGTGGTAAAGAATTCCACAGATTTACTACCCTTTGCATGAAGAAACTTTTCCTCATCTTAGTCCTTAATGTTCTACCCTATATCCTGAGACTGTGTCCCCTAGTTATAGACTCCCCAACTACTGGAAACATCCTCCTCACACTTAGTGTGGCCAACCCTGTTAAAATTTTATGCTTTCAGCCAGGTCCCCTCTCGTACAGGCTCAGTCCAATCAATGTATCCTCATACGACAGTCCTGTCATCCCCGATATCAGCCTAATGAACTTCTGCTGCATTTCCTCTATGAGGACTATATCGTTTCTTAGGGAGGGAGATCAAAACTGCGCACAATACTTCCGGTGTGGTGTCACCAAGGCCCTGTATGACTGCCCCTGAACTCAAATCCTCTTGCAGTGAAGGCCAATATACCACTTATCATCCCAATTCCTTGTTCCACCTGCCTACCTGGGGTTGAGGCCACTATCAGAGCAATCATGATCTTCGTGAGTGGCAGAGCAGCCTGAATGACCTAATTTAATGTTTCTACAGCCCCTCTTAAATACTAAAAGTCTTGCAGAGATAAAGCTCACAAGTCTGGGTACACAGTTTGCCTTCCTCCTCTTCCTCCCCAGAATTCAACTTCTTCTAAATGTCCAGCGAGCCACTGAACGTCAGACATGCCATTTGTCCCATCAAGCCTGTGCAGATCTTTGTAGGAGCAACTTTACAATCCTGCAAATTGGTCCTCTCCCAAGGAGACACCTTTGCACATTAGAGCCATTCCATTAACATTCAAGGATGCACAGAAGCTTGACACAAGAATAGTCTTTCAACACAATGACAGAACTTCTGGAATGTGCGCTTTGCGATAGTAACATTGAATATGAGAGCAAGGACATGCTTTTGAATTTGTTTAACAAACACTAGTTCAGCCTCTACTGAAGTATTGTGTCTTGTTCTGGGCACTGCATTTCAAGAAAGATGTGAAGGCTTTGGAAGGATGTGAAATAGAATGAAAATGCTCCCAGGGATGAGAGGACTTCAGTTATGAAGGTAGATTGGATCAGTTGAACTATTTTTCCTGGAGAAGGCTCACAGGCTATCTGACAGATATGTTCAAATTCATGAGAGGTCAGGACATAGATAGGGAGAAACTGTTCCAACTGATGAAAGGATTGAGAACAAGAGGGCACAGAGTGAAACTAATTGGCAAGACAAGGCAAAAGTGATATAGGGGAAACCTTTTTTTTAAAGCAGTGAGTGGTTAGGGTCTTGAATCCACTACCTGAGACTGTGGGGAGGCAAGTTCAATCAAGGCTTTCAAACTGGACGATTTTCTACAAAACAGCGATATGCACAGCTAAGGGGAGAAGGCAGGAGCACAAAGTGAGATCCTCGTTTGGTGAGTCAATGCTGACATCATGGGCTGAATAGTCTCTTTCTGCCCTTTGAGTTACCATCCAACAGCTCCATCCACCAAACGCAAGTTAGGCATGTAATGGAATTCTCCCCACTTGCAGGGATGAGTGCAGCACCAACAACACTCAAGATGCTTGATTCCAATCCAAGACAAAGCAGCCCACTTGATATCCACCACAATCATAAATATCCACTCATTCCACCATGGACAGCACTTTCCAAAACCCTTAAACTCTACAAAGTAGAAGGACAAGAGAACATAGCTAACTGATATTTTCTCCAAAACCATTCTCCATCTTGACTGGGAAATATATCACTATTTCTTCAGTGTTGTTGGATCAACATCCTGGATTCCTTCCCATTATGGATTATAGCTCTGCCTACTCCTGCAATAGTTCATGAAGACACTCACTACTACCCTCTCAAGGACAACAAGGGATGGGCAATAAGTGTTGGCCCAGCCAATGATATTCACAATTCATGAATCCAGCCAGTAATGCCTGTATTCTGTGAATAAGAAGCTTTGGAAAGTAACAGATCAGTACTCTTGAACCAATAAAAAGCTTTCCATTGTAAACAAACCTTAGTTCTGAAGGATAGTCATTGGACACAAATCATTAACTCTGTTTCTCCCTCCATTGATGCTGCTAGTGCTGCTGAGTTTCTCTAGCACTTTCTGTTTCAATGTTCACAATTCTCTGGGGTGGCACAGGAGAAATCTATTCTCAGAGTCATCTCAAAAGTTAAAGATTTTGAAAGGAATGCAACACTCCCCGATATACCTCTCTTCTAGACCCAGGTTAGCAGGAAGCACAAACCAGATTTCTGTACTTAATAAAAAAAAACTATTAATTCCAAATAAATACATTCTAGCTACGGTTAACAGTTTTGAACAACCAGTGTAACACTACTAATTAAAATTCTAATCCCCTTATAAATGCCACCTTTCTTGTACACACACGCACACACACAGACAGGAAAATAAAATCAGGGGTGCTATGGACGGGGAGCGGTGGGGTGGATTTACCGGGAAAGCAATGTAATCGGACCTGGTGAAATGGTTCTTGTGCTGACCAGAACACTGCTTCTTGGTCTTCCGTTTTGCTAGCTTGAAGTTCAAATTACACCCACTGTAGGTGAACGGACCACATGCTTCGCAATCAACAATCTCCGAGGACACGATTTTGAAGTGAGATATGAGGCAGATACTACGATGACTACATCTGATATGCAGAGCAGATCACCCAACTCCATACAAAGACCAAGAGCTTCCTCTTGATCTACACGTTGATGCTCTTGGCTACAAAGATGAATACATTCTCAACATTGGCTTGCTACACTTTGGCCACAGCCAGTGCAAACAGTTGCAGTTGGCAACTGCTCAATTTCAGTAGCTGCGTTACCAAAGATCATTATCTAGGCACACCCCAATAGTATCAAAAGAGTACCTGAGAAGATTATTACAGAGAGAGATAGCAGGAACTGCAGATGCTGGAGAATCTGCGATAACAAGGTGTAGAGCTGGATGAACACAGCAGGCCAAGAAGCATCAGAGGAGCAGGAA